AACATGTTCTTGCATGAGGCCCAATATTCTTACACAATCAGTTCTTGTTTAGTAAATCAGTCTCAAAACAAGATCAAAAAGACTTTTTGGCTGATATAAGGTTTTAAAACTTGGTAAGATGGACAGTTTTTGCAGTGTATCTGTACTCACTGGTGTTGTTTATCCAGTCCTTTTGGGCTCTGCAGAGRGAAAGATGGCTACTGAAATACTGTAATTCTGCTCAGAAATTGAATTAAAGAGAGTTTTGGGTTTATTTTAGATAAATATGTATTGAGGTTAAATCAGTTTGTCCATTTTCTATTGCAGAACAGCTGTAAACATTCTAGATTAAAGAAAATGTTTGTGATATTTACCCAGAACTATTTTATAACAAACTCCAAGCACTCATAGGCACAACTTAAGTTTAATGAATTGCCACCTTTTAAAATAAGTAATTGTTTTAGTGTGTGTATCTATTTGTTAGCAAAGTATTTCATATTTCAATGAAAATTTGTTGGATATATGTTTATTTTAACATTCAGAATGCACCTAAATCAAGATGGTCCCCACAACTACCGGTAATCAACTATAGCCAAAAATGGATAAACTTAGTTAAGCTTACAAATATTTTTGACAAACTTTGGTGTGGTAATAGTTGGTACTACAATAGTTGGTTGTAGTACTTGAAACTGGTCTTGGTCTTAAGACCGGTCTCAAGACCAGTTTTTGATGGTCTTGGTCTTGTCTTGGTCATTGAGGACTCGGAATTTTGTTTCAAGACCACAACTGCAGAAATATCATTAAATAGCCAGATTATTGTCCAATTTATTTGTTAACATTCTTGCTTTCATTGGATTTAAAATGTACTGATTCAAATCCAAACCTGACTCGTTGCTGTCACTAACGTTAACAATCTGCCTCTGTAGAAAAATTCTTTCCTCTGKCCTCACACAAACATTTTGTCAATATTAGCTCTATATATTAGGTTAGCTACAGTGTGGAAAAAAGTATTTAGTTAACACTAATAGTTTACGTTCTCCCACTTAAAAAGACGAGAGGTCTGTGAATTACATCATAGTTAGACCTCAACTA